ATAAGCTCAGACACAAGCATATCCCGGGATAAAACTGGAGACATAGAAATTCAGTGTATAGCCTTAACTGTATTATTGGTGTGAGTGTTCTGTCAAGAAAGGAAGATGCAATGTAAGTCATTTGCAGCTGCATATCAACTAAAGTTTATGCTGAATAAATGAATAAACATAGACAGCCACCCAAAGATCAGAAGAGAGAAGGTCGAGCTCAAGACCCACTATTTACCCAAATCTTTTCACATGGTTTCCTCCTACACATAGTGCCTGATCTACAAGGCGACCACTAATTTATTTTCACAGAATTACAGAGCGGTAAAAGTTGGAAGACACCTGTTGTGTAGTCCATTTATCCTGGTCAGGGCAGGGTCACCTACAACTGGCTGCCCAGGGCTGAGCCATCTGGTTTTAATTATTTCCAGCGATGGAAACTCCACATTCTTCTTACAGCAATCTACTCTAGAGTTCAACTGCCATTAGAGAAAGAAAACAGCCAAATAAAAACTTTCACATAGAACTTCCCGGTTTTCAATTTCTGGCCATTTCCTCTTGCCCTCTCACTGGACATGACTGAAATAGGCCTAGCCAAATCTCTTTCACTTCTTTCCATCCTATACACTTTGATAAAATTTCTTCTGAGCCTTCTCTGCTCCAAGCTAAACAATGGCAGAACCTGAGTTTTAAAATTTCAACTCCTAATCACCTCCAATTACCTAGAGGTATGTATTGGTGCAGAAACTGATTTTAAAAAAAATTGACCAAACAAAAAGCCTTTACAGGCTGAAATTGGAGGTTGAAATGTAAACCTACACTGGGACATCTCACTGACAAAAGCATGCATATTTGCAGTGCAGACAGTCTTGTCTTATAAGCTATGTTTCCAATAGTGAAAACAATCCTATATTGTGTCCCTTGAGAGCAGTAATAAAGTGTACTGACTTGATTACTGTTTTAAAGGAACCCTGAAAGCTTAAAAAGAGAACAGAAATACATGGAATATCTCCTTTAAAGGAGACACATTTAGATCAATTCTTCATTCTAAAGAAATTAAATCAGGCATAACTTAGTAGGAATTCAAAACATAATAAAAAAGATTCTGTAAAAGACTGAGTTCAATAAATTGAGCTTCAAATACTTATTAAAAGACAAGAATGATCAAACAAGAATGAATGCTCACTCATAGACTATATAGCTAAAAACAAGTGCTTCCAACTATGAAGAAACCTCGATAGATAAAAATTACTGCAGATACTTACAGGTATACAGCTGAGCAAACACCATAAAGCTGCTGTCCTGCATAAAATAATTATTTATCTTTCCAACAGCATAAACTATTGGCATTTAGTCCTGCAGAGACATAAAAAAGAGCATACCAAGCATTCTGCCTGTTTGTCTTCTTCAAGGGTTTTTCTAGTGTTTGTAAATAAACTCATCACAAAGTATCTGTTACCAATGGTAAAACTGGGACCCAGATTATCTTCAAAGCAAAGGAAACAATTTTTAACATCACATCTTCAAACTTCTGCTTTGAGACCAATGGGTTAGTTACCCAGCAGGATAGTATGGCATACATTAGACTGGCTTCCTTCACTCTGACTTAGACACAAATAATCCCTTTAATTGTAAACCCCTACTCCAGTAGGAGTATGTAGTGAGGTCAACTTTTTCCCTTTGCACCTCAACATGCATTAAGTATTAGTAGTTGCCATATATTAACTCCTTTTAGCATGTAACTCTTCTTAACCCACTTCTAGATGTGGGACAGCCTGATCTTTCAAGAAACTCAGTTCTAAAGAATTATTTTACTCTGTATTTACAAAGTAAACTTTACACATTTTGTCAGTATACTAAAGAAGGCAAAACTCCTTGTAACCATTACTAGCCTTCATTTACTAATATTTACTAACATCCTCCAACAGTTCATGACCAGTATGTCCAGGGTCAGAACAGGGTGGGCTTCTTTAATACTATACTGGAAAGCTACTTTCATTATGTCCATCAGAGGTATACGGCCATGTCAAGTTGTCAAGAGACTCTTTCACTAACACCTAACTCCAAGAGTTGCTCTTGTCTCAGGAAAAACCCACTTCATGGTGCTCCAGTAGTAAACTTTCATCTCTGCAATAAAGTAGGTGTGTGTCTTCTCCAACAATAGAAAACCTGAGTACAGATGAAATATCAGGAGAAACTTCAGCAATCTTCAGCATGACCAAGCAGGCTATAAATGTTGCAGCCCTTACTCCTGTCTGAAAGGAAACAGAGCTATCTACCCCAACAACTTTGTGCAACATGACCCTGAGTAGGGGTCCCCATCTCTTCCTCTCTGCTTGAATTTTCCATGCCAAGTCGCTACTTGCAGTCTCATAATACGAAACAGTGCAGGCTGAATTTTACAGATCAGTCATGCACCTGAAGGTGATAAAACTTTTAAGCAAAATAGTTCAGTACTACAGAAAATTGCCTCATTATGCAAAACCCAATCTTATTTTTAGATTCCACCTTATGCTCCCTTGTGTTACACTCCACTTGGTCTGAGCAAAAATTGATACAGGAAAAAGGATCCAAACCTGGAGAATTCCAAGCTGTGATTTTGAATTACCTTTTGTTTTTGTTTCTTTTAATTGGCAAACTCTATATATAAAGTGCTAAAGAATTATGTCCCCATGAAACTTAAAAGGGATACAATCATGGAGCAAATGTTACAATTTCTGGTAGCAAAGCTGAAGAACAGGAACAGTGCAGCTTGTAAGCTTTCTGTTTTTATAACTTTTACTAGATACACAGTACTTTAAAAAAAAAAAAAACCCAAACAAAACCAGAGTGTTTCTCTTTTCTTTTTCTTACTTTATCATCATAAGGCAGCATTAAGCACCCTGTACAAAACTGTACAAGATCACACAATCATCAAATAGTTTGGGTTTGAAGAGACCTTAAAATACATTTAGTTCCTATCCACCTGTCATGAGCAGGGACACATTCCACTTGAACAGCTCTCTCTAAGCTCCATCCAACCTGGCCTTGAAGATGAAATATTACTGTACAAAGCTGCATACATTACAATGTCTTCAACTTAGTCAGTCGGTGACAAAAAAAAAAATAGAACAATGCCTGTCAGTTTTTTCCTAGTAGGTGGTGAAATAGTGCCACCCACTGTTTTTCCAGAGTATCCCCTGCTGCAGAAAGCTGAAGAAAGCTAAATCGGTACTTCACATTCACTACAGCGGCAGCTCATGCTAAGCATTCCTCCCTTTAGTCCCAGCACTGGTTTTTACTACTGGTGACACATCTACAGTGATATTTCACTCACTAGGAGAGCTGCACAGGGGAAAATTCTTTGAACTTGTTCTACTACAGCTGAAGCCCCAAGAGAGACAAAAGGCTGAATAACAGAGAAATTAGTTGTTTTTATCCCCAGGAGCAGATGTTTCTTTGACTGTACCTGTCAGTTTTCACAACCACTAGCAACCCAAGCGAATCTCAAGCTGAAGAGTATGTTACATATATTACACACTGTAATGTTATATTATGGAAAATTACAACTGCAAAAATTGCCATAGGATGTAAATATCCAACTGCTTTTTTTCATATCCTTCCATTCATTTTGTATCATCCCTCAATCAGACCAGACAAGTATCTACCGCTCCCTCTTAAGCTAGGTCACGGGTCATTCTCTATAATCAACAGTCTTACTCACCAGTTTATTTTCGGTTACTATAAGCAACATTTATGTAATCCAAGGGTTCAGAAGTTATTATAACTCGTAACAGTCATGCATTGTTAAGACAAAAAGAGCACTTAAGGACTCCTCTTAGAAAGTACTGGTACTTGTACACATCTTACTTACCTTATCTCTGGATGATGGAGAACGTGGCAACGCTTCCCAACATAGCCAAGTACTGGTCACTTAAAGGTCTACAACTACTTGGTCTTCCATTAACAAAAATACTTTGTAAGCCACTTTACAACAGAAAGTGGGCTGTTGCTTACACTCAAGAATGTGCAAGCTAGTATTTCAATGATTCAGGACTCTAACAACAAACTACTTGCCTCTTTGCAAGACCACAGAAAAATTCAAGAAAGGTCAAATAGAGTGGATGAAATTATATAAACCAGTTACACTTTGTTGATAGCTAAATACTCCAAACCAATCATTATATCTTGGCAGTGCCTGTTTCAATAGGACAAGGTGGGTAGTGTTTTAAACTAAAAGATGGTTTATCCAAGCTAAAAACACAAAGAAGTGTTTTACAATGAGCATGGTAAAAAAGGTTGCTCAAAGGGGTGGTAGATGGATGCCACATCCCTGGAAACATTCACAGTCAGGATGGACAGGGTTCTGAGCAACCTAATCTAGCTGAAGATGTCCCAGCTCACTGCAGGCTTAAATAAATTACCCTTAGTGGTCCCTTCTAACCCAAACTACTCCATGATTGTACAATGTTGTATTTTATGATTCAGCCATCCTAGCTGTGTCTGGGGCTCAGCTGTAGTCTATTAAAAACACCCCTAAGACATACAAGTATCAGCAATGAAAACTCAAAAGATACCAACAGCTAGAATCAAGGACCCACACTAAAGAGGAAACTGTAGACTCCAAATGCATTTGAAGAGTTCTCTCTATGGTTCTGGATGTGACAACTTAAAATTGCATATGCATGTTCACAACACAATCTTTGGAAGCAAGTTTCATCATGTCTGTACTACCATGTCTAAAGATTTCTCATACTGTGTAACTAAATTGCCAACCATTCATTAAGAAACACTTTTTATTCTGAGCTCACTTTCTCTTTAGAATGAATAAGCATTTAACTCAGGTACAAAATTAAGAAATTTATCACTAGAGCTGAGTATCAAGACAGCTATTTCCTAGTGATACTCAGATGGTCATATGAATTAATAGTTTGTCATGACAGTTTAACACGGACCTGTGGATCTGCAAAAAAACATGCTTACATGGCACTGAATTAGTAGAGAAGGCTTTTAAGAGTAAATATACAAAAGACTTTACAGTATTACAGCCATTTATTTGCCAGTGTACAATATACATTAAAAAAGAAAGAAGGCCCAAATAACGTACAATATGTATATACTGTTTGCTAGACAAATACCTGACTAAAATCAAGGCATAGCATAGCTCATACTTCATGGAGTCACAATGAAGTTCAGGTACATACTTTATGTTTACTTTAATGGTTTACAACTCTTTTGGTCTGTTTAGTAGAAAATTAACCAACTGAAGCAGGACTTCATCATTAAAGCCTTTCACATCACCGTCTTCCACAACATCATAGAGTGGCTTACTGTCTGTACCCCAACAAATATTCTTTCGAGGGTTGTTTTTAATAGTTTCTGAAGTTAGTGCTAAAGTATTTAGCTGGTAACAAAAGAAAGCGAAATATTTTCCATCAGTAACTACTGCCTGTGATACAAAAGGACGGGTCACATCTGCTTCATTCCAGAATCCTACAAAATAAACAAATACAACAGAACTTGAGATTTCTATCAGCACACACACCTAAAGCCTAGTCCCAAAGCAGAAAAACTGGGAACTGCAGCAGCTGCCTAGTAGGGAAAAAGTCCTATCTGCTTTATCAACAAAAGCATTTTTCATACAAACTAACAAAACACAATCACCAACAAAGGCTATGTCTAAGATAAGGGACACAGAGCAATACTTGCATTTTGTACACAGCTCCCTATTAACAGTTGATTAAAATCACTCACTGATCAGTCAAGTGACTTTTCCAAAGCAACTAAGTTACTAACGAATCCAAAGACCTGCAAAGGAGCTGAGGGAAAATGTCTTTTAACTATTTCACAGCTCTCAGATGCAGTAACCATTTGTTTAATGACAAAAGCATGCATATATATGCACGAATAAAACTGACTATAGTAATCAGCCAGACACCAAGAACCCTACATCGGTAAGTGTGTTTTAAACAAACCCCACTGAGCACTTGTGAAATATGTTAAAAATATTTAAATATTTATGCATGTGCACTAGTATATACACAGATATTTTTAAGGATATTACTATTATGTGTCACAATGCTAGAAACTGTTACAGAAGAAAAGTCGTAGATTTGAATAATGCTGCCTTCACAACTCATCAGGTGCTCACAGCTGACCAGCTCTGAAGACTTACTCAACTTCAGTGTTTTACATCCATAAAGGAAGCTTTCTAATACCGCATTACACAAAAAAAAAAAAAAAAAAAAAAAAAAAAAAAAAAAAGCTGATGCAGAGCCAGTAGTATACAATATAGTCAGAGAATTTTCATACATGTGTTGTTTCTCAAGCAAAACTAAAAGCCATCAGGTGTCTTACAATAACACTAGACAATAACTGTATTTACAAGAATAAGTGAAAGACTGTTCTGGTCTAACCATCCAGGTCTTCTGGGACTTCTTTTAGAAAAATGTAAGCTGCTGACATTTTTCTTTCATTCCTAGTATTTTCATGGAATTGAAATTACTGAAATAAGGGCTAAGCAACATAATTGTTCCAGAAGGAAAAAACCCAAAATTGCTTGATGTCTACCACATTTCCCTCTTAAGGAAGGAAGAGCAAGTGAAAGCAACTGAGATTTTCGCATAAGCTTAGTGTTATATGTTGAAAAATATTTTTCTCTGTATTTAATTCCCCTGTATAAAAATACTCCCAAGTCTTTAATTATTTTATTAGTTCAAGTACATCTGTAAAGACTTTCTTAAAAGACAGTCTTCAGCAAAACGAAACTCAAGAAAAAGGTTGTGGGGAGAAAAGATTAAAAAAACTTTACAGTAAGCAGTCATAACCAGGAAGAATTTATCCAGCTAACTATCTCACCTTGATACATTGCTTGTGCTGCTGTCCAGGCAAAGAGACTTGCAATTCCATTTGATCTATAAACAACTTCAATCTGATCCTCAAGATGCGCCTTTATAAACCTCTCCCGCCTCAGTTTGTCAGGAAGGAGATGGAACTGGGTATGTCCATAACAGCATGGATCTGCAACCTTTGATCCTGAGTGCCCCAAAACAAAACTAGCCGTCAGAGAGAAAACACTCTTTATTACACAAACAAACACATACTTCACTATCAGACTCTAAAGCTAGAACCTTTACTGTAGATCTGTGAAGAGCTGCCTACTTCCAAAAGGCAAGAGTCCACATCCTAAAATGAGAATCAAAATTGATACTCTCCTGGAGATGTATCAAAATAGAAAGTTTTGTGTCAATTTTCTATTCAACTAAACTTTCTCAAGCAAATTTGGACGCACAGTACCATATGCACAGGAGAATGCTACTCCCCATTGCCTGACATGAAATTTCAATAGAGACCTATACACTACATAAATATGTATACAGTATACTTATAAATAAACATACACAACTTCTTCTGGTGATGGGAGGAGAAAGACTGAGGTGACATTAGTTTGGGGTTGGTTTTTGTTTGATTGGTTTGAGTTTTTTACCAAAAAAAGTTAATATTTCACAATTAAAAACTCTTACCTATAAATACCTTATTTTCATACTGTTTTTTGAACAATGGCAGTTTGGATGGCTTGTGATCAATAACAGGAACATGCCCGAGATCTGACTCCAGGGGTACAACCTTGAAGACAACAAAAGAAAGGTAAGACATGATGTAAGATACATTTCTGACATCAGGTCCACTGTAATACCCTAAAAGTTCTGTAAACATAAAAGTTTACAGAACACACAAAGGTTTTCTGTTTGGGGTGGAAACTGGTCAACAGAGACCCTCAGTGGCTACAGAAGTACCATTGTATAAACCTGCAAGAAAAACATTACAATACTGAAACAGAACATACTTTCACCAAACTTGAGCATTCAAGAAAATAACTGCCACGCAGTAACAAGAGGCAGGAATGCTCACATTCATTTTATATGTGCTTTTACTACTTTTTTTTTACCTCCTCTCCTATTATTTTCCTCCAGTGAGAATATTCCACAGTGTATTATTCATTCTTGCCCATTTCCATGCACAGAACGTAAAAAATTCAATTTAATACAACATACAATTTAAAGTACAAAGAGGATCAAAAGTTCAGAAGACTGGCTCGGTACCTAGCAAGCCATTACCACAATGTAGTAAGGATATTAAGACTTGAAAAATGCCCAAATGTGCTACATACTGATTAATGTCATCCACAGACCACCTCTACATGGTTTCAATGGTTGTCAGAAATGAAAGTGAAAATGCACGGTATTAACTTCCTATTGAAAACATCCCCACCTCGGGAAGCTGCTTTGGTACACGGATCTGGAGGTGGGGGTTATCATCTATTTGGAATCGCACAGGATCAACTCTACCCTTTCGATGTCCGTGAACAACAACTTCGTTACCATGATGCCAGTAAAAATTAACTTCAGGGTTTAGATCTGAAACAGAACAAGAAACACAAAACCCCACTGATTTGCCTCTTGCATTTAAAACCCTCCCAAATTCTTCTTCAGCTGTAGTCAGCTACAACACCCAAAATCCACGTAGAAGGATGGAAACAAATTACTAGTGATGGTGTGAGCAAGTGAGATACACATGGACGCTCGTGCCGGCTCACAGACTGGCCCTATCGCCCAAAGGCTCCCGCGTCCCCTGCCCTGCCAGCCCCGCTCCGTACCGAGGGAGGAAGCAGCCAGAAGTGGGTTGCGACCGGACAGGAAAGAGGCTAGAGTGGAAACGAGCTGCGTGAGGAAGGGGCCGGGTGTGTGATCCTGGTCACGGTAGAGGAACGGCCGCTTCTTTTTCTGGTAGAAGCTCTCCTGGAGAAGGGCGTCGCAGGCGAGAGAGCGCAGCTCGCCCATATCCGGATACGGCGAGGTTCCCGCCGAGAGCTCTGGGGCTGACGTGGCCCCCGGCGCCTCCGCGCTCGGCTCCGGGGCTTTGCCGTTCTCTGCCGCTCCCGCCGCCGCTATCGGGGGTTTCGCGGCCGCAGCTCTCGGGGGCATTCCCGGCACTAAGACGGTTTTGGTGAAACTGCGGTACCAGCGGTCGGCGTTGAGGGCGAAGGTCTGCGGGTACACCATGTACTTGGGCCGCTGCAGCTTCCCGTACAACCGCAGCTTCTCCTCCACCGTGGCCGCGCCGTGCACCCGCTCGTTGAAGCGCTGCAGGCGTAGCGACTTGGCCGCTTTGCTCTTGGCCGTGATGGACGCCACAACGGGCGGGTAGAGGGGGCCGGCGAGCGGCGCGGGGGCGTCGGGCACCGTCTCCGAGAACCAGCGCCGGCCGGGCCGCAGCAGCCGCCGAGCCCCCAGCGCCGCCATCTCGCAGCACAGCGGGGCGGGGCGGTGCCCACCAACCGCCGCAGCTGATTGGCCTCTGCGGACCACGTGATACCTCAGTTTTCCGGCGGGCGGGCTCGCCTGAAGCAGGGGCTGCCGGGCAGGAAGCGGCGGCGCCTTGGGGGCCACGTGGTTGGGGGCCCAGCGGCCCATGTGTCCTAGCCGCAGTTACGGCCGCTCCCGAGCGGGAACTACAGCTCCCAAGAGGCTTCGCGAGAGGCAGCCGGAGGTGCCTGGCATGGCGGCCGCGCCCGCGTCCGCTGTCCGTAGGGAGCCGGGCGTGGCGCTGGGAGTCTCGGAACGGACTGGGCTGGAAGAGACCCTTGAGATTATCGAGTCTGGCCTGTGACCGAACGCCATCATCTCAATAGAGCGTGGCACTGAGTGCCACGCCGTTTTTTCTTAAACACCCCCAGGGACGTGGACTCCACCACCTCCTGGGGCAGCCCATTCCAGTATCTTACCACCCTTTCCGCGAGGAAATTCCTCGGAATGTCCAAGCTGAACACTCCCCTGGCGCAGTGGGAGGCTATGTCTTCTCGTCCCGTTCCTGGCTGAAAAGGCTCGACGGAGCATACCTGCTTCCACTGGGGAAGGGGAGCCAGCTTGGAGCCGGCTTCCCGCAGGCCCGGCTCCCGGGAAGCCCGGTCCAGCCTGGGCGCCTCAGCCTCCCGCTGCAGTGCTGCAGGGAACGGCCGGCTCTGCGGCTACCGCGGCGCTCAGTGTAAACTGAAATGACTCCTTGTCAGAGACATCACAGCCTGCAACGTCTGGCTTTAATAAAGGAATTAAACACTGCTAAAATATTATCTGTTACGGCCTTTGTTTGTGAAATGAAATGAGCTAAAAGAGGCATACTGACACCGCAAGAATGCCGCAGTAACTGCATGTTTATGTTAGAGATGATTGGAAAAATTGTGGGTATTTCTCTTCAGTGGACAGATGAAGTTCAATATTTATTCTTAAAACTTTTCTTCTGTCATTGCTTTTTTAAGGTCGATTATTTGCAGTAGTTGTGGGAGATTCGTTGGTTTTTCCTGTATTTCCATGAAGTATGACTAAGAGTGGGAGTGGAAAATATGTGTGGGATTTGGACAAGAGACACATTATATACATCCCAGATAATCAACTTTCTTTCCTCAACTGCTTAGCCTTCTGCTGCTCACTGCTGAAGTGGTGGAATCTTTGGAATATAGAGGAATTTTTGGAGTAAATGGCAGAGATGTAAACCCAGAGTTTGGGTTGAGATTTTCAAAGAATAGAAAATATAAAACCATTCTCTTCAGAAATTAGGTGAAAGTTAAATAAAAATGAAACTACTGCGCTGTCTCCGAGGCGTGACAACCTGGTTCAGGAATGGCACGGCAGTCACCTCAGACCGCTCAGGCCAATTACTCACAGACATCAATGTGGTGGACGGTGAAATGACATTTATTTCTGAGCTGCACAGCATTATATTGCCTGGGATTGCATCACTTCCGTTTGCTTGTGTCACAAGCCGCTCAGTCCTGGCTGTCTTGGTAAATTCATGGCAATATTAACAAACAAAGGGGGGATCCCATCTTTCCATACAGCACGTAATCTTCCAACTGCCTGTCCCTGTCTTCCCACACTACTGTTAATCCAAAACAGCTAAATTGTTCTTTAGTTTACGATTCATAAGGTATGTTATAAAAGATTTAAATGTTAAGTTTAAGTTTAAACAACTAAGTTTAGTATCAAGTATTTAAAATTCAGTTCTTTAAATTTTGAATCCATACTCATTTCTCACCAGATGGGTGAAGGGAAAAGGCCATAGATCAGATGACTGACCATTTAGGAAACAGCCACTCTTCCATTTCCTCACCTCACACACTGCAGTCTCCAAGTGCCTCCAAAAACCTGTTTTCCTCTTGATTGACAAAGGACACAGGCCACATGTGTTCATGGAAAAGATACTGAATCTCTTCCCTTGTGATCACAGCCAGCCAACTTACACAAGTTGTCAAGAAAAATCACCATGTACTGTTCTTAGGCATTTAATTGCTGTATCTCCTCTTTCAAAACATGTTTCCTTTGCTGGTTAGAAATATCCTTCTAGTTTCATCCTTAAATGTATTTGTGGTCAATTTATACCTGCTTGTAATTGTGCCATTGTCTTTTAGTTTAATTAGCTTTCTGTTCTCTTCAGTGTTGGCCTTCTAAAATATTGATGGAGACCAGTCGTATCACCTCTCAGTCCTTATTGACAGAGACGGAACAAGATCTTCTCACATAGGCAGATTTCCATTTCCCTGATCGCCTTAACAGTCCTTTCTTGCATTTCCTGCAGTTTTGCATTTGTCTTAGGGATATGTGACCATACTGAATCCATTTATTCATACAAGGGACTGTATTAGCCATGCCAGGATTACTAACATTTTAGCACTGTTAAAAATCTTTTTTATCATGTTGTCAAGTCAGAATTTCCTGCCTTGCAGCCATATGATACTGTGAGCAACTTTTGCATGGGATATTTTAAACCCTGAAGAAGTTCAATACAGAAACTTATAAGTGATAAAGTAAGTAAATGTTCAAAGAACCATTTTTATCTTGTCTACTTCATTCAATGGCATCAGTGACTGTAACCTTAGATAAGAGATGTGAAGATCAGTGCTAGCTAAGCTTTAACCTGCACTTAATAGTCCTCAACTACCGGTGTTTTGGTCACAGTTTAATTTTATTTCCTTGGCATATATTGTAGTATCATTCATATTGAGGTAGGAGCAGCAAGGGCTTCAATGAAATGTCGCAACAAACAGTCTAGTCAAAGATACTCGCATGCTTTGCTGCCAGCTCTGTCATAAGCTTTTGATAGAAGTGTATTATGCAGCCATGGGTCTCCTAGTTTGAAGAAGCGAACTGACAGTTCAAAAAGGATCTATTTTTACTTCTTTATTGAGATAACCTGCTGCATTCAAATTATCCTAAATCTATAAACCCAGAGCATCTAAGATGTTCAGAACAAATGTTAAAGTGAATGTCACAGCCTTAAATCTCTAAAGTTGAAACTAGAAATAAACTTTAATCTCAATTCAAGCAGGAGGTCATTGGGGAGTGTCAGGTTGGAGTTCAGGAGGTAGTGTTGTTCATCTTACTGAATCTAGTCCATAGGAAGAGATGGAATGTTGCATTGCACGCAACCTCAGGATTGGATCAGGTGGGAGAGTGGCAATAAATCATAGTTTTTGGAGAGTGCCCTGACACTGCCAGTGCCAATCATGGGTGCCAGGAGGGACACTGGTGACAGCTAGCTCCCACTCCTGGACCTCGGCGTGATGCCACCAAGTGACTGCTCCCCATCTCTAGCTGCAGGCTGGGGCTGAAGGTAGCAGTTTGGACGCTGGCAGGAAACCCAACTTTAGCTGGCCTGGGCTGAGCAGGCACCCAGAGAGATTTCTCTTTGTGGTAGACCAGAGAGTTCCAAGGGCTGTTGGACTCTATGATGTTACCCTTTGCCAACTGCTCCTCCAGAAGTTGAGAAAGCACACTCAAGTTTTGCTTACTCAGTGGCCACTGATTGACCCAGACTGATGTATCTGTGAGCCAATTTAGTTTCTGGGTTGGGCACTCTATGTCAGTGACCACTTCTCAAAACCCTGAGGGGCCAATGTGACCCCCCCCCCCCCCCCCAATATGCAGTCTCTCCCCCACAAGGTAAACCTGCTGTTAAGAACGAATGGGCGTACATTTGCAAATTGCCCTTCGGGCCCCGTAACTTGGACAATGCTCTTAGATTGTCTCGTCAATCGGGTGCCCCCAACACCCTGAACTTTGCAGTTCATGTCTTGCAACTCCCACTGTGACGGCCATTTTTATGGTGGAATGAGTGTCACGTTTGCCCAGTGTCCATCATTCTGTGTGGGAGGCAGAGGAAGGGTGACAGGAATGGGGAGAAGCATGGGAGAAACTACTGGGGTGGGGGCTATTGGGGAAGTCGGAAGGGTATGATAAGGTGTGGGTTGTGCAGGGTTGTGCAAGAGAGGTAGGATGGGGGGATAGGTTGAGCAGGGAGGGGTGCTTGAGGGGCCTGAGCAGGTTCAGGTTGGGAAGGAGGGGGTACTGGAGGAGTAGTAGAAGGCGGAAGACAGTCCAATGGGTCCAATTTTTGCATAAATTTTTTTTTTCCCTCTTTTATTTCTTTTCTTACTTTATATATTCGAACCTTTTTATCCCAAATTTCATTTTCCAGCCAACAGGCTGCATATTTAATTTCTTTCCCATCTAAAATTTTTCTTGAATTAATTAAATAAAACAACACAATATTATAATCCAATAAATAACACTATGAGTAGCAATAGAAATAATAAATGAACTTGATAACACCGACCCCAAAATTCCAATAAAAGTAAGTCACACATAGATAACTTATATAAACCAAAACAGAAATTGTGTCCCTAACCAGCAGGTTTTAAAACCTCCCTCCTACCCCGAATGGGTAGGGGGACATCTCCTAGCCAGTAGCCTTTGCCCTCCCTTGTGGGAGGGGGTGTGGCCGATGGCCCCCTTGCTTTGCCTTGGGAGGCAACAGACGCTTAGTTTCCCGCCTCCCCCGGTTGTCAGTTATTTGTCATCCCTTCCCCCTGTTCCTGTCAATCATTATGTACTCCTTCCCCCAGTTCCAGAAAGTTCTGAGTTCTTTGTATCCCCATTGGTTCTCCCCCCAAAACCACTCCTTCCCTCTGTCCCCGTTGGCCGTTGCCGTGTCACTATTCCCTGACTCCACCCTCAAGCCCTCACCCGGTTGGCAGCTTTGTACCCTGACCCTCCTTCCTGGTTGCTGTTATAATTCCTGCCCCGCCCCTGGTTCGGGGCTCTCGGAGCTGGCTTCCCTTCCATGCGGTCGCTTCCCTGCGTCCCCCACCTTGCTTTCCTTCACCTAAACCCTTGGGAATAAAGCCACCCGTGAGTCACCCGCCATCGGTGGAAGCTCGTTATTTCCTTCAACCATCGAGGCGCCTGCGGACCAGTTCCTGCAGCTATCCGTGGCTACCCGCAGTGAACCCTGGACCCAGGCGCTGCAAATGGCGCCCGAACAGACTGACCCCTGCACGGAGTCAGTCGAAGAGCATCTCCTCGACAGCTTCGGTTCCGTGATCCGGCTGTTCGGGGACCTCAAGCGCCGTTCGGTGTCAGTGCCACGGGCGACT